TTACAGCCTTTTCCTCCCAAGATGACCTCCGAGACCACCTCTCAGAAGCCCACAACAGGCTCCAAGAGGCCCCAAAGAAGCCCCGAAGAGGCTCCCAGAAACCCCAAAGCGCCCCCCGAGAGGCCAAGGGGAAACCCTAGAGAGGCCCCCTCCCCTATAAGCCTCCACGAGGCCCCCGAGAGACATCCCAAGAGAACCCGAGAGGCATCCAACACGACCCTGACCCAAGACCCAGGCACGGTGACAGCATGCACTGACGCAGCTTCGGCGGGGGCGTGCTCAATTGAGCGCTTTCCTTGCAACTGCCCTGCCACTGTTTATCCCCCAGGCGGGGCTCACGCGACAACTCGGGGATACGGCCGCCACCCACAGCCTTCCGAGCCCCCGCGACCGCGCGGCCGACTGCCAGCGACGAGGCAAGAGGGGCCCGCGGGGCAAGCGAAGCGACTGAAGTCGGCGGGCGCCCCGCGTGCCCTCGCCACGTCAGGCCTCGAGGATAGATGATGAGATGGCGGATGTGGATGAGATGGACGTGACGGAGGAGAAGGAGAAGATGGATGAGATGGCGGATGTGGACGTGACGGAGGATGCGGATGTGATGGACGGATGGCGGAGGTGATGGACGTGCTGGACGTGGATGTGATGGAGGATGGGGATGAGATGGATGAGGTGGCAGATGTGGATGGGATGCTGTGGACGTGATAGGGTGTGATGGAAGAGAGAAGGAGAGGCGTGCATAAGGCATGCTGAGAAGGGCCTCGCGCACTCCGCCGGCCCGAAGAGGGCAGCCGCACCTCCACTCTCCTCCCGACGCGTTAGGATGCGTGCGATCGGCGCCTCTCGGGCTCCTGGGGCCCGCCGCGGCCGCCGCCGCCTCTCAAAACCACGCAAGGTATGCGCCTCGTGGCTCCTAGGAAGCGTAAAGCTGCGAGCGATCGGCACGCTCGATCCTCCCGGGACGAGTGAAGATACGAGCGAAGTGTGCTCCCATGGCCTCGAGTGGCCGCTTCGCTCCGCCCATCCTGGACAAATCGGCTTCGGAGGGAGGGGACTCTGCATCTCCAAAGACTGTCGTTTCGCCGGGGACATCCTCGGCAACTCGGTTTCGGAGAGGAGGAGGAGGAGGAGGAGGAGGAGGAGGAGGAGGAGGAGGAGGAGGAGGACTCCGAATTTCAAAAGAAGCAGTTTCGCCATGGACTGCAGCGGCAAAAATGAGCCTCGGAGCGGACTCCGAGTCCCGATCATGACCGCTTCGCTCGAGGCATCCTCGACGATCTGCCTCGGCTGGGCGCGTGGAGCTGCCTCGGAAGGCGCCCACGGGGCGCCAACATGGCACCAACGACTGGCACCGAGAGGGGGCCACATGCGAACCCCACCCCTAACTAACCCCCCGCGATTTCTGAGGGGGAGGGTGGGGCTCACCTCGCTCGGGAGCTCCCGAGCGAAGTGAACCCTACCCTCCCCCTCAGAGATCGTGGGGGGGGTTCGCATGTGGCCCCCTAACCGACCCTCGTCGAAGCAGCAGGATCTGCGTGCAGGCCCCCCCCCCGTTTGGGGGCCCGCCGTGCCTCCCGCTCCGCGGGCTCGCTGCGGCGGGCCCCCGCGCGGGGCCCTCCCCGCGTCGGGCGTCGAGGGCAGGTGATGAGAGCGAGATGGCATGCATAGGACATACCTGGAGGAGGGACTTCGCGGATTCCGCCGGCCGATGATGCTTCGAAAATGGCTCGGATGTTCCGAGGAGGCCAGTTTTTGTTTCCCCCGTGGGAACACGCGAGAGTGCGAAGCGAACGTGCGCCCATGTCGCCGGCCGATTTCCTGAATTCTCTTGGGGGCACGCAAAAATACTAGCAAAACGTGCCCCCGGCGCCAAAACCACGCGCGTGACAGCTCCTGGGACACGCAAACACATGGGTGTGAGATTCACTCAGGGCTGCGAAAGCCTCCTAACGGCGCCCCCCATCACGCATCTCCTGCTCCACACTTTACCGGGGATCGTGAAAACACGAGTCACCTGCGCAACGAAGGCCACGAAGGGCTCAATTCTAGACACCCATCGCGCACTTCCTGCCCCATACTCCACTGGGACAAAACCAGTGATCAGCGAACTCAGACGGGCGCGCCCCTCACGCTTTGAGCTGACCACCAGGAGGCTCAGGGGAGCGTAAAATCGGGACACCCGTTATGTTTTTCGTCCCCCCATGGACACCCTAAAGGCCGCCCCACGGGACACCAAGATGGCCCCAAGAGAAGCATTGCAACGATTGGTACCAATCCTTCTCAAGACAATATCCCCAACACCCATGATTGCAAACTCTGCGCGCAAGCTTCCCCCTTTGGGGCCCGCCGTGCCTCCCGCGCTGCGGGCTCGGGCCCACTGCGGGCCCTCGCCGTGTTAGGAGGCTTCAAAACAAGATGGTGGCATGATTATGAAAGTGAAGAGAGCGAGAAGCATGCATACAGCACGCTAGGAGCGGCGTCGCTAGGGGGCCACATGCGAACCCTACCCCTACCCCCCACGATTTCTGAGTGGGAGGGTGGGGTTCACGTCGCTCGGGAGCTCCCGAACGAAGTGAACCCCACCCTCCCCCTCAGAAATCGCGGGGGTAGGGTTCGCATGTGGCCCCCGAGTCGCGGATTCCACCGGCAGGTTCCGCACAACCCTCCCGAAGATACATCAAACACACAACTGAAACGTGCTCCCAGCGCTAGGCCCACGCGCGTGACAACTCCTGGTGCACATAACAACCCGACGAAGATACGCCCGCAGGGCTGCGAACGCCTCGTTTCGGCGCACCCCTTAGGCAAGTCCTGCGTCTCCCAGTCCTCTGAGACACGTAAAACACGAGGGATTCGCAGAACAGTTCTCCTATGAGCCTCGATTCAGCACACCTTGTACAAAGCCCAGCAAGATACGTCCGGTGAGAAAGCAAACACACGTCTCTACAATTCCGAGCGAGGAAGGTGCGACGAGACTTCTTGCAGCGGACGGCCAAAAGGGCCCACGACAACGACCGCGTCTCCAGCAGAGACATCCCGGAGGGCCCGCACCGCCGCGCTGAAGCCCCAGTCCCGCATTGACTACCTACCAGACCACCCCAACCCAACCCGAAGACCCGAATTTCGGGTTGGGGGGGGGGTAAGGGTTCCACATGTGTCTTTTCGATGTTTCCCGACCCCCCCCCCACTGGAAATCGAGGGCAAATCTGAGCCTTCGGGTTGGGTTGGGGTGGTTTGGTGGGTGGTGACGCATGGCCAACCAAGCCCCAATCTGCAGCACAATTTCAGACATGAGGCCGCCGAAACAAAAACCTGCAGCGCTCGTCGGTACCGCTGTGGCCGAGCCAGTCCGCCGTGGACACCCGGGCCCCAGCCACGGCGCCTGTAACAGGCCCGAGTCCTCGACGCCCCCCGCGCCGCGCGCACCGCCCACGCCATCGGAGGCCGCGCCACCGCTGCTCCGATCGGCGAAGTGGCGCCCAGTCCTCCGAGGCCAACCGCTCGACCACGCCTCGAACAGAGGCTCCGCGCACCGACGAGACGAAGGAGCGGCGAGTGCCGCCGCAGGCCGAAGGGCCTCTCCGACGCCGAGCTGCTCCGCCGCGCCCGACCAGCGACTTCCGACACCGCCGAACAGGTAGCCCAGGCGTTCGCACGCGGACCCGCGTCCCAGGCCCCCCCCCATCGCAGCAAAGTCGTCCACGACGCGATCACCGCCATCGCCGACGCTGGCCCCGAAACCCTCTCGACGGCGCCAGGCCCCTCGAGCCGCGGCGGCGGCGGCGCGCCGGCGCCCGCGAGCGTTCGCCCTCCAGGGGTCGGTCGGTGGCGCGGGCAGCCATCCCTCGCAGGGGCCCTCCGACCGACCCACTGGGGCCCGTCTCGGAGGTCGCGCTGGCCGCGCCTGCAGCGGGGCGACCGCGCGGCGGCCTCGACCTCCAGCACTGCGCACGCCCCCACGCCGACGAAGACGACAGCTCACGCACGCAATATTGGCGCTGTTCGGATGGCGATCTGTAACGCCCTGGGCCGCGAAGTGCTCCAAATACAATAGGGGCCCGACCACAAGAAACCTTCCACAAGAAGCCCAACCCTGAGACCCCAGGGCGTCCACTGACGTCTGGTGTGGGAACGTCACGTACTCCACAGCAAAACCATCGAAAACCAAGAAACCCAGGGCACCCCGAGGGCAAGCAGGGTGGTCCGTGGCGTGGGCCTCCACTGCAGCACCCCGAGTTGTGACGTGGCGCTCGCGCGAGCGCCGCGCGGCCGGCGCGGCGTCAGCCACTTGGGTCGGGCACCCAAAGGCTGCACGGAGGCCCTGTGTTCTCGCAGGGGTCGACGATCTGGGGCACCAGTCGGGGCACTGTTTGGGGCACTGTTTGGGGTACAATTTGGGGCGCGATCTGGGCGGCCAAACGTGGGCTCGAGTAACTTCCTCTCGTCCCCGCGCCCACCATGAACACCTCTATCGCAGCAGAGAGCCCGGTTCCCCTGTCTCTCCACGCAGGTAGTGGTTACCGCACAGCTTATAACAAGATTACTCGGAAAGAATACAACAACCTGTTTGGGGAACGTCGGCACTGTGGGTGCTGGCGTGAAGCGAGCTGATGAAATGCGCACTATGCAAACTCTCTTGGTTGGGAGGCTGCCCGAATGCTTCTGGAAGAAAGCTGGCTCCAGTCATCCGGGCCTGCCGGAGATGTCTTTCCTCGCACGTGTGAATGGAGCGCGCTGGCGCCCAAGGGAGGCGCTCGGACAGGGAGAGGGAGGCGGGGGAGCATCTGACTACCTACCAGACCACCCCAACCCAACCCGAAGACCCGAATTTCGGGTTGGGGGGTTAAGGGTTCCACATGTGTTTTTTCGATGTTTCCCGACCCCCCCCCCCCACTGGAAATCGAGGGTAAATCTGAGCCTTCGGGTTGGGTTGGGGTGGTTTGGTGGGTGGTGAGCATCCGTGGGCCGAGAGACAAAGCAGGCGGCCCAAGCTGGCGCAGGTCTTGGCACGCTTGGCCATCTCCACCTCGTTCTCCTTCCGAGTCAGCTCGGCGTCCCTGGTCACCCCCAGCACTCCGTGATTGCGGGAGGGGGAGGGCGGCGGACGACGCAGGCAGGGGGAGGTGGAGGACAGGCGAGGAAGCTCGAAGCACTGGTCCCCCGTTTCTGGGCCCCTCAGGCCCGTTTCGGGCCCCGGAACCGCGAGAAACGGCCCCAGATGGAAAGCTGCCCAGGACGGATCGGGGGGGGGGCGATTCTGGCGTGATGGCATTGCTCTCCGGGACGTTCTGCGGAGCAGCACTGAGCTCACCAAACGGCGCGGCCATCCCTCGCACTCGTTCGCGTTGCTCGGTCAGATCCGCCGGAACCCCGCCGGGCGTGAACTGTTTGGCTGCGCGCCCCCCCCCCCGTTCCCCCGTCACTGGGGGTCCGAACTGCGCGCCCACCAGGAGGCCCAGGGGAACTGCCCACCATGCCCAGGGTACCCCAAGACAGCCTCTGAGACCGCCCAAAGACGGGCCCCAAGATGAATTCCACAGTGACCTGAGTGTTCGCCCCTGCACGATGGCCCCACGGACCCCCAAGGAACCTTTGCGAGACCGATTGCTCCCCTATTCGGCTCTGCCTGGAGGGTCCCACGTGGGCTCTGTGGCCACAGTGAGCGCGGAACTGGTTCCGCGGCTTGTCGGGGTACCCTGGGGCGCTCGGAACACACAAACTGAAATTCGTAGATTCTCCGTGTTTCGTCAGAATATTGCTTCTGTGTCGGGACGCTGTCATGGCGTTCTTCATGAGGCCCGTCACCATGATGGCATTCTGCCATTAGTTCGGCGGGTACCGACTCATTTGCAACACTTTCTTTCGAGACTGACAACCGACATTGCCCGTACTCCGATACCCTAGCTCAGGGGCTCCCTTTTCCAGGGCATTATTGACGGGCGCTCCCCGAACGGAAGTCTTGCGACATGGCGAGATTATTCCGTCAAGTAGCTGCGCGAATGCCTATGATGATGGGCGTGTTTTTCTCCACCACCACCATAAGTTGGAGTGGAAGGGGGTCCTCCTCCTCCTCCTCCTCCTCCTCCTCCTCCTCCTCCTCCTCCTCCTCCTCCTCCTCCTCCTCCTCCTCCTCCTCCTCCTCCTCCTTCCCCCCTCCAACTTATGGTGGTGGTGGTGGTGGAAAACAGGCTCATCATATGATACGCGCGCGCGCTAGAGAGAGAGGCGCGCGCACCTGCTCACTGCAACGCCTCGAGTGGCAGGCGGCCTCCCCCAAAGTTCTGGCCTGAACCGAACGCGCGGAAACGACAGCGTGTGCTCGCACATAAAGGATGCAGTGTGAGTGATGGTGACTACCTACCAGACCACCCCAACCCAACCCGAAGACCCAAATTTCGGGTTGGGGGGGGTATGAGTTCCATACGTGTTTTCTCGATGTTCCCCGACCCCCCCCCACTGGAAATGGAGGGCAAATGGAGGCCTTCGGGTTGGGTTGGGGTGGTTTGGTAGGTAGTGAGATGGTACCGACTTGGATTGCTCGGATGGAAGTGTTACGTGTCTGCATCTGCCGCAAGTGCGTGTATTGGACGGCGGGGGATCGGTTGGCCAACCTCGGCAAAGAGTGCGATCACACAAAGTGGGCTCGCAAAGCGATACATGGGCTCAGCTGCAACGTGGGCAACATCCTAAAACAGTTGGTATGACAGTTGTCTTCAGAAACGTTTTGTCATATTTGAACCGTTATGGTGCTTGCTTTGGGGCAGGCCCCATTTCAAGTTTCCAGCAGGCCCTCTCGCCACCCGCTTGTTGATTCACTGGCTCTCCGCCTCAACCTCTCCCTGCCCCTCATCACCCACCTCCCCCTCCTCAATCTCCGCCTCACCCTCCTCAACCTCCTCCCGCTCCTCCCGCTCCCCCGCATCGTCCGCCTGCCTCCTCGTCACCCTCCCCCCTCCTCCCTCGTCCCTCGTCAACCCCCCTCCCTCGTCCCGCCTCCTCCTCCTCCTCCCTCCCCCCTCTCCTCATTCGCCCCCCCCCCTCCCACCGCCCCCCATCCTCCCCCCCCTCGGCGCCGCTCGATGGTGACCCTGAGGCGCTCGCGCTCCTGGCCGGCGGCAGGGGCGGGGGGGTGCCCGCGGCGCGAGCCTCCTCGCCGCAGACCCCGCAGCTGGCCCGCCGCGGCAGGGGCCGCGGCGCCGCACCGCTGCACCGCCGCGGCCACGGCTCTCGCCAGGACCCCGAGGCGACGCCAGCCTCATGTCGGGCGTGTCCCCCTCGAGGGGGATCTTCGACGAAAAGTGAAACATGCCCCAAAAATACCCCAAAAAGGCAAAAAAATACTCCAAAAATAGCCCCCAGACTATTTTTGAACCGTTCTGGGACTATTTTTGAGGGCATGCTTATGTATTTCTCGTCGGGGAACCCCCCTGTAGGGGGACGGGCCCGACCCAACGCCAGCCGTGGCGACTGGAGGGGGCGCGCAAGCATGGATCAGCGATCCAGGGATTCGGCGCGCGGCCCGCCCAGCCCATGGGCCGAGGGACGCGCCCTCCCCCAGTCGTGCGGCAGGTGCCGCTCCGCTCGGCGGCGGAGCTCCGCGCCGTCCCCCTATGTTGGAGGCCTGGAAACTGGCACCAACACCAGAACAGGGCAAGGGAGCCCAGAATCGAATCGATAAGTCGGATCGGCGATCGAAAAGAATCGGATCGGCAGAAATCGGCAGCCGAGTCGGGAAAAGTCGAATCGGCGGAAATCGGCAGGCTAGTAGGCCTCCGTTGAGAAATCGGAGCCCAAATCGGAATCCAAAGTCGAATCGAATCGGAATCGGAAACCATCGAAATCGAATCGGATCGAATCGGCGGAATCGAAACGAGCCCTGACAGGGGGTTGCCTCCACCTGGAAAAGATGATCCTAGATTTCCGTGCTGGTGGTAATATTTCGGTCACCTTGGAAGCCAGAATACTAGCACCATCACCGAGATCGGGATCTTCTTCCCTCGGTGGAAGCACACCGCCGATCTTGGTGTTGGTGTTGACCTCTGGGCCTGCGACTATGTATGGAAAGGGGGCCCATCGCTCATCCACGGAAGGTGGGTCTGCTGGTCGTTTCGGCGCCCTTCTGCGGCAGGGGGAGGAAGAAGGGAACCGGAACCGGAGCCGGAACTGGAACCGGACCCGGAACCAAAACCATAACGGAAGAGGGCCGAAAGAAGACAAACCCAAGCCGGAACCAGAACCGGAACCAAAACCAGAACCGGGACCTCAAGGACCCTCCGAACCAAAGAAGAAGAAAACCGGAACCGGATCCAGAAACCGCGACCTAAGAGGCCTTCTTCGGGACGCGAAAGAAGAAGGATACCGGAAGCAAAACCAGAACCAAAACCAGAACTAAGATCTGAAGCGTCCCTGGGCACAAAGAAGAAGAAGAAAACCGGAACCGGAACCGGAACCGGAACCGGAACCAAGATGACCGTCACGGACCAAAGAACAAGAAAGAAACCAAAACCAAAACCGGAACCGGAACCGGAACCAGAACTGTGACTCGAAGGGTCATTTTTGGGACCCCGAAGAAGAAGAAAACCGGACCCAAAACCAAAACGGGAACCAAAACCGTGACCTGGAAGGTCTTCTCTGGGACCCCGAAGAGAAAGGAAACTGTAACCAAAACCGGAACCAAAACCGTGACTTTTGAGGTCTTTTGGGGACCCCGAAGAAAAAGGAAACCGGAACCAAAACCAAAACTTGAGGGGTGGGACCTCGAAGAAGAGAGAAACCGGAACCAAAACTGGAACCAGAACCAAAACCGTAATTCGGGTTTTTGGGGGGACCCCGAAGAAGAAAGAAAACGAAACTGGAACAAAAACTGGAACCAAAACCGTGACCTTGAAGGTCTTCTTTGGGACCCTGGCCGAAGAAGAAAGAAACCTGAACCGGAACCGGAACCGGAACCAAAACCGTGATTTTGGAGGTCTTCTTTGGGACCCCGAAGAAGAAGAGAACCGGAACCAAAACCGGAACCGGAACCAAAACCGTAATTTGCGGGGGGGGTTCTTTGGAACTCCGAAGAAGAAAGAAACCAGAACCGGAACCGTAACTTGGGGGGGTCTTCTTTGGGACCCCGACGAACGAAGAAACCAGAACCAAAACCGGAACCAGAACCAGAACCAAAACCGGAAACATAACCAGAACCAGAACCAGAACCGCAACGGTGACCAGGACTGGTCCTGGTTCTGGTCGTGCGGCGGCATTATTATTAGGTCGTCTTCATAATGCAAACATGCACTCCGATCGCGACCAAGATCAGGACTGGTTCTGGTCGCGGTCGCGGATTCGGCACGTTTATTGAGCTATTGCAATGATGTACCCCGACCGCGCCCTGCCCGAGACCAAGACTGGTACTGGTCACTGTCTCCAGGCGGCATTCTCCTGATAGTGCACCCCGACCGCGACCAACACAGAGTTGGCTGAATCTACTTTGGCGATCAAGCCTGCCTAGCAGGGGTGGGGCTAGTGGAACAGAGGGGCACGTCTAACACAAAAGAACTTGTTTAAACTCACGTGTTAATCAGCTTGGGGAGGGGCCTTGCCTAGCAGAGGGTGCTGCACCGCAGCGGGGCACGTCCAGCACCAAGACTGTTTGTTGTTTGTTCAGCTTGGGGAGAGGCCTTGCCGAACAGAGGGTGCTGTACCACACAGGGCACGTCTAGCACCAAGGATGTTTTTTGTTTATACATATACGTCTATGCAAATTTCACATATATATATATATATATATATATATATATATATATATATATATATCAGCTTGGGGAGGGGCCTTGCCTAGAAGAGGGTGCTGCACCACACAGGGGCACGTCTAACACCAAGGATGCTTTTTGAATGAGCTTGGAGTGGGGCCTTGCCTAGCAGAGGGTGCTGCATCACACAAGGGCACGTCTCACACCAAGGATGTTCAGGATGTTAAGAACTCAGCTTACGGAGGGGCCTTGCCTAGCAGAGGGTGCTAATAATTAAAAATGGGGGGGCCTGGCCTAGCAGAGGGTGCTGCACCACACAGGGGCACGTCTAACACCAAGGATGATATTTTTAATCAGCTGGGGGAGGAGCCTTGTCTAGAAGAGCGTGCTGCACGGGCACGTCTAGCACTATGTTGAAATGCCTGGCAGAGGGTGCTGCACCACACAGGGGCACGTCTAGCACCAAGGATGCTGTATTAATCAGCTTGGGGAGAGACCTTGCCTAGAAGAGGGCGCTGCACTACACTGGGGCACGTCAAGCACCAAGGATGTCTGGGGAGGGGCCTTGCCCTATCAGAGGGTGCTGCACCTCGCAGGGGTACGTTTAGCACCAAGGGTAATAGTTTTAATCAGCTTTGGGAGGGGCCTTGCCTAACAGAGAGTGCTGCGCCACACTGGGGCACGTCTCACACCAAGGATGTTTTCATGTTTGAATCAGCTTGGGGAGGGGCCTTGCCCAACAGAGGGTGCTGCACCATACTGGGGCACGTCTAACACCAAGGATGATATGTTTATTCAGATTGGGGAGGGGCACTGCCTAGCAGAGGGCGCTGCACCACACTGGGGCACGTCTAACACCAAGGATGTGTTTTGAATCAGCTTGGGGAGGGGCCTTGCCTAGCAGAGGGTGCTTCACCACAGTGGGGCACGTCTACAACCAAGAATGCTGTTTTAATCAGCTTGGGGAGGGGCCTTGCCCAACAGAGGGTGCTGCACCACACTGGGGCACGTCTAGTATCAAGGACGTTTTTGTTGTCAATCAGCTTGGGGAGGGGCATTGCCCAACAGAGGGTGCTGCGCCAAACAGGGGCACGTCTGACACCAAGGATGATAGTCTTAATCAGCTTGGGGAAGGAGCCTTGCCTAGCAGAGGGTGCTGCACCACACTGGGGCACGTCAAGCACCAAGGGCTCGCTGTTTAAATCAGCTCGGGGATGGGGCCTTGCCCAAAAGAGGGTGCTGCACCTCGCAGGTGCACGTATAATATCAAGGATGATACTTTGAATCAGCTTGGGGAGGGGCCTTGCCCAGAAGAGGGCGCTGCACTGCACAGGGGCACGTCGAACACCAAGGACGCTTTCTGTTCCAAATCAGCTTGGGGGGGGCTCGCCTAGCAGAGGGTGCTGCACCACACTGGGGCACGTCTAGCTAACACCAAGGATGTGTCTCGAATCAGCTTGGGGAGGGGCCTCGCCTAGCAGAGGGTGCTGCACCAAACAGGGGCACGTCGAACACCAAGGATGCAAGGATGCTGTTTTAATCAGCTTGGGGGGGGGGCTTGTCTAGCAGAGGGTGCTGCACCACACTGGGGCACGTCTAACACCAAGGATGTGTTTTGAATCAGCTTGGGGAGGGGCCTTGCCTAGCAGAGGGTGCTCCACCACAGTGGGGCACGCCTAGGACCAAGGATGCTGTATGTGCTGCACCACACTGGGGCACGTCTAGCACCAAGGATGTTTTTGTTTAAATCAGCTTGGGGGGGCCTTGCCTAGCAGAGGATGCTGCACCACACTGGGGCACGTCTAACACCAAGGTTGATTTTATTTCAATCAGCTTTGGGGGGGGGGGCCTTGCCTAGAAGAGGGTGCTGCACCACACAGGGGCACGTCTAGAACCAAGGATGATAGTTTTAATCAGCTTGGGGAAGGAGCCTTGTCTAGCAGAGGGTGCTGCACCACACTGGGGCACGTCTAGCTCCAAGGATCAGGGATCCAAGGGTATGTTTCGAATCAGCTCGGGGGGGGCCTTGCCTAGCAGAGGGTGCTGCACCACACTGGGGCACGTCTAACACCAAGGATCCAAGGATGTGCTTCGAATCAGCTTGGGGAGGGGCCTTGCCTGGCAAAGGGTGCTGCACCACAGGGGCACGTCTAGAACCAAGGATGCTATTTTGATCAGCTTGGGGGGGCCGTGTCTAGCAGAGGGTGCTGCAGCACACTGGGGCACGTCTAGCTTCAATGACGTTTTGTTTAAATCAGCTTTGGGAGGGGCCTTGCCGAGCAGAGGACGAAGGCAGAATCGAGAGAAAATCCGACGAAATCTCTCAGATCCAGCTGCTCTGGAGAATGTCTCGGGCGCCGCGGCCGTTTCAGAGCGTTCCGGAACGCCTTGAGAGCGTTCCGGAACGCTCCGGAACGGATTTGCATCGACGTACCGCTCTTTGGCAGAGCAGAGGAGGGGAAGGCAGGAAGGCACCCAGGCACACACGAATTTGTGGACACTAATCCAGGGATTCCCCCTCGTTGTCCATGTTTTTGGAGTTTCGTCTTCCCCGCCACTTCCCATATTTTCCCGTATTTTCATGGGAATGTACATCTAGTTGTGTATGTGTGTTTCTGTTCATTCTGAAAGGAGGGGGACGGCAGTGGCGAGAAATGAACCCAACCCAGAAGTGCGGCCCGCGCTGGGGCAAACGCGCCAATCCGAACGACGAAAGCAATGCACCGATCCTGAAAGTCGCCAAGGATGCAGTGAGAGCACCGTTTTGAAGGACCGAAGACGGTCCGAGACTAAAAAGCACAAATGCAACCCCACTGCTGGAAACCCTGACAAAACAGCACGCGGGAGGAATGGACAAAACGGCGGGGCGCTGTCATGGGAGAAAGGAGGCTAATACTCATTATGTGCACATGTCTGCCACCGTGCATTATGCACGCTGGGGCATGTTGGCACCTGGGCTGGCACGGGAACGGAAAGAGCGCTTGAGTAACTCGCCCGAGAAGGCTCATGGCACCGTTTGCTTTGGTGTGACAAGCTTTTTCACGTCACCAATGGCTCTTGGGAGCCTTGATGTGTGTTCTTGTGTACGCAACCGTTCGATCTTGGGAGCCTTGGCGTTCAAAGCTGTTCACGTCATCGCTGGCTCATGAGAGCTTTTGCATTGAGAAACTGTCACGTCATCGCTCGCACTTGAGAGCCTTGGTGTGAAGAGTTGTGTACGTCACCGCTCACCCTTGGGAGCCTTGAATTCAAGAGCTGTTTATGTAATCGTTCGCTCTTGGAAGCCTTGGCGTTAAGAGCTGCTTACGTAACCGTTCGGTCTTGGGAGCCTGGGCATTTGGAATTTTCTGGCCCACTGCTCGCTCTTTGGACCCTGAACATTCGACCATGTTTACGTCACCGACTCGTATGCAAAGGGCTTTCCGGCCACCTGGTGCTATTGAGAGCCTTGGCATCAAAGCTGCATCCGTCAATGGGCCGTCTGGGGGGGGTCCTCTGAAAGCTCTTTTGGACGTCTTGGGGCTCTCTGGGGCCGTTCTGGGGACATCTTGGGCCGTCTCGTGGAGCTTGGGCCCGAAAAGTTGCGAACACAAGCGACACTGGAAATCCCGAAGAAAACCTCGAGCTCTTGGCATCCACAAGCCGCCTCAGGGGTCCTCTTGAGAGGCTCGTGGGCCGTCCTCGGAGCCTCTTGGGCCGTCGGCCGTCTTGGGGGGCTCCAGTCGGCAGGGGGCCCTCGTTGGGGCCTCCTATGACTCTGGCACTCTCGGGCTGCCCTGGGAGCCTCTCGCGGCCCCGCCCGGACCCTCCTGGGGCTCTCCGCGGCCGTCCTGGGGGGCCTCCTGGGCCGCCTTGGGGCCCTCTTGGGAGCCTCCTGCGGCCGTCCTGCGGCAGTCGTGGGGGCCCGCGGGGCCGTCTTCGGCCGATCTGGGCCCGCAGACGCGAACACCATGACAGCAATCGAAAACCGATGGAAAGAAACAGTGGGTCTTACCTCCTCGGGCCGTCTTGGGGCCCTCTCGGGGTCCTCCTGGGCCGTCTTGGGGCGACGGTTGGGGCCTCTCTGGCCGTCTGGGTCCGTCGGGGCCTGAAAAGGTGATCCCCCCTCCTCCTGCTCCTCCTCCTCCTCCTCATCCATCCATCCATCCATCCATCCATCCAGCCATCCATTCAATCATCCAGCCATCCATCCATCCATCCACCCAGCCATCCATTCATCCCTCCAGCCATCCATCCATCCAGCCATCCAGCCATCCATCCAGCCAGCCATCCAGCCATCCTGCGTTCCCTCCCTCTCTCAGTCACTCCCTCCCCCGTTTCCCTCGCTCCCTCCACCCCCGCCTCCTCCCTATCCTCCTCCTCCCCCCTCTCTTCCCACGCTTCCCCGCCTCTTCTCCTCCTCTTCTCCATCCACCTCGATATTTACCTCGAACGCCCTACCTCCTCCACTATCCCCTCGATGCGACGAATGGCGAGCGACGGGCGACGACGCCGACGACGACGAACGACGGACTCGACGACGACGACGACGACGACACCAGAAGGAGGAGGAGAGGGAAGAGGAGGAGGGGGAGGAGGAGGAGGAGGAGGAGGAGGAGGAGGAGGAGAAGGGAGGAGAAGAGGAGAAGGGAGGAGGAATTCGCCAGCCCAACGGGCCAGAGACGTGCTGAGATCTCCGGTAACTGGTTAACAATCTTTCTAGTTCGCGCGCGCGGAGCAGCCCCTGGGGGCCCCCGGACGAGAAGTACCGTGGCTAGGTCCCGGTCAGATCCCGGTCAGGTCCCCAGAGCGCTCCAAGAGAGGGCCATTCTTCGACACCCCTCACGAGGATCGTGGCCTCCGAGGGGGGAGCCGAAATCGACTACCCCACCTCCCCCCCCAAGAGGCCCTGGGGGCCCCCAAGACGCCGCCAAGGAGCCCCAAGAGACTCCCAAGAGGTCCCCAAGAGGCCCCCAAGAGGCCCTAAAGAGAGCTCCAGGGCCGGCGGAATGAGCGAAGCGATTAATAAAGAGGAGGAGGAGAAAGAGGAGGAGAAGGACAAGGAGGAGGAGGAGGAGGAGGGAGGAGGAAGAGGAGGAAGAGGAGGAGGGGAAGGAGGATGAGGACGAGGACGAGGACGAGGATAGAAGGGGGAGGAGAGCGAGGAAGAGGACAGACGAGGAGCGCGAGAAATGAGGAAGGAAGGCAACGAGCAAAAAAGCGAGGAGGGAGGAGGGGGAGGAGGAGGAAGCCTCGGCAGCTGTCAGCTATCGGTCGGTCGATGGCCTGGCGTTCGCGGAATTCCAGAGGCTTAGGGCCTTGTGGGCAATCACCTCTGACTCGGGTTACTCCGCGCAGCTCGAGTCACACTGTTGCTGCATCGGTCCGCTCCCCCCCGCCCACTCCCAACTCCCACACCCCCCCTCCCCCTAGACATGCCTAGTGTTTGCTGTCTCGGAGAAAGAGGAGGAGGCGGAGCGTACCTGGAACGCTCGAAAACCAAAAAAAAAAAAAAAAAAAACGGAGAAAGAGGAGGAGGAGGAGGAGGAGGAGGAGGAGGGCGTGGCGAGGAGGAAGAGCAAAAGCGGGGCGGCGGCTCCTGCTCGGCGCGGACCTGCTCCTGGGAAAGGGGGCGGTGGCGGCGTGGGCCGAGCGGCGTCGTCGTCGTCGTCGTCGAACGACGTTGTCGTCGTCGTCGTCGTCGTCGTCGTCGACGTCGTCGGCGTCGTCGTCGTCGTCGTCGAACGACGTTGTCGTGGTCGTCGTCATCGTCGTCGTTCGTCAATGTTCACGCGGGGGCGGAAGGGGGCGTCGATTGGAGCAAGGGGCAGCGGGAAGAGTGGGGGGCGGGAGGGGGAGGAGGACGAAAAGGAGGAGGAGCAGAAAGAGGTGGCTAAAGATTGGGAGGAGGATAAGGAGAACGATAACTGCAAGAAGTGGAAGCTGTACGAGAGAAAGCACGTCGGCAACAAGATACTGACACACTATACACGCACGCGCTGGCGCTGAAGCCAAACGGCGGCAAAACATCCCATTTCAGTCAGGACTGCGCGGGTGATCGAGCAGCTCCGAAAGAGAAGAAATACAAAAGGAAGAAGGGAACCAGAACTGTCCAGCCCCATTCCCCGTCGCTGCTTGACCGGGAGGCGCGCGACGCGTCGGGGCGCGAGCTCGCCCCTTCGACGGGTGGCTCACTCGTGCTCTCGGGAGGGGCACTGGAAGAGCTCACGCGCGTGAACGATGGAGGCGCGAGTTCTCCCAGGGCCGCATCCGCGCACATTGGTGACGTCGGGCCGCTGACGCGATGTCTGAAAGCCCGTCCTAAGACTCTGGCAGGACGAGGGCCCTGGGGCCCGGCGAACGGCGAGGCGGAGGCACGAAGACGCCTTGACCTAGCAGGTGGGAGAAGGTGATGCATGGAGATAGGCCGCGAAGGACGCGCGCACTTGTGGCACGATCGCCTCGAAGCTCACCGCAATCACGAGTTGCGGGCGCCGCTCCGGTCACGACCAAAGGCCACGTCCTCGCTGGGAGTGCCGGGGCGCCTCGCCCTGCTCGGCCCCGGCACCGCCGCTGGGCGAGGGCGGCGGGCCTGGCTCGCCCGCGGCAGCCGCGCGGAGGGCCGCGCTGGCGCGCCCGCGCTTGACCTTCTCCCCTGCCCTGCGCGTGAACTTATTACCCCTCTTGCTGGGCAGGTCGGCGTCTGCCCCCAGCACGGGCTTGCTCTCGCTCTGATCCGTGCCCTTGCCCTTGCCCGACGCCACAGCGGCGTGCCCGCGAGATCCGATGGGCGCCACGGCCCCCGCCCTCGTCGCGCCCAGCCTCGCGGTCCTGGGGCAGAGACGGGGGCCAGGGCTGAGACCCGGTGAGACTTGCCGACGAGGACGCGGCGCGAGCGCTCCCCCTGCGGCAATGGAGAGCGCGATGGCCGCGGCGTCGACCGCGCTGGCTCTCCGTAGCCGAGCGGGCTGCTCTTGGAAGAGGGCGCGCGGAGAGCCGACTCGTCGCGGGCCATGAGATGGTCTCGGCCAAGCACTGGCCGCGAGCCGACGTTGGCGAGTGGCCAGTAGTGGCGGCACTCGGCCCTCTGTTGGGCGGCCCACGAGGCCCACATGCTGCACGGCTTGGCCGCGCACATGACACGGCCGATGCTGAGCAGCACGTTGTCGCACAGCGGCTGGGCGTCATTCGCCCAGCCCACGGCCCCGCGAGCCTCTCCATGACTTGGGTGGAGTAGAGACTCCAGCGCAACAGCACCTCGGGGACTGGGTCGGCGATGCGCCACTGCCGTATGAACTGCACCACTTCGGCGTCGCCCTTGACGATCGAAGGGAGGCAGGGACCTTCCGCGAGCGCCGAGGCGGGCACGTCGGGAAGAGCCGGAGCGCTCGGAAGACTCGGCACGGAAGCGTTGCTGGCGGGCAGCATCCGCACGTCGAACACGGCAGCTGCGCGGCCCCTGCGGGGAGACGGCGGGCGCGAGCGGGACCGAGAAAGCTCTCGAGCCAGAACGTGACCTCGAGAAGCAGATGAGGTTGACGTGATGCGCTGAGCACGCCGTCTCATTGAGCTGCCGCCCCCGACGCCGCAACTGACGCGCTTGCTCCTGACTCGGCGGGGGCATCATCGGAGGCATGCAGGGAAGGCGAACCATGACCGGCTTCGCCAATGGGTTGCCACACCTGGACCATGTGCCAGGAGCGGGCGTCGGAGATCGAGCGCGCGGTTCGGCTCGACCTGTGGACGTCGAGAGTGCCACGTCGCCCGAAGACGGCACTTCCGCCGCGGGCCACGAGGACGCCGAGGGCACGGTCCGCGAGCGACGAGGCGGCGGCGGTCCAGGAGGCCCCAGCGGCATGCTTCGAAGCACGCTGGCATGCGCGCGCGGCAACGCGTAGCCGCCAGCGCGCGCCGACGCGCGTCGGGAGTCCACGCGCGGGCCCGACGGCGCACGAGCCGCAATCGGCGGCTCAGCGAGCTCCCGCCGGGCGGCGCACAAGCCTGCTGCTGAGAAGGACGGCAGCAGGATCATAGACGTTCATGCCTGCTTGTCCTTGCTACTTCCCTGCCCCGTACGTCCGCGCACACGCGCGCCCATATGCATGCCCCAGAGAGCGCCGAGCGCTGCGACGACGAAACTCCTGACAACATGCTCTTCCCGAACTGCCGCGCTGCAACAGATCTCTCAACAACCACGCGCACAGCGCAACAGGCCTTCCGAAAGGGATGCGGACGAGGAAGGACTGATGATTGAGGGGGACAAAGAACAGAACAATCCAAAGACGCACGTTGATAATTGTCAGTTGTCGGAGGTCGGCCCGCACAGATGGCCCGATAGCACAGCGAGCTCACCAGCCGACCTGAGGGCGACGACGCACGGCGCGCGCGGCCGCTGGCGAGAGCCACCGGCCACGTCGCGGAGACAAGATATGTCGATGCTTTTGTAGGCCAGTCCATCAACGATCACACATCGCGCGACTTCCTAGCTCAGGGCCCATAATCGGCCCGAGCTCAGGAGGTCGCCGAGCCAAGGCACACGCGGCAGTAGTGAATGGTCTGCCAGGGGCTCAGGTCTCGTAGCCGCGACGACTGTTACCCCGCCCCCAGTGAATCGAAGCAGAGCTCAATGCGCAGCGCGAGCGTTCGCTGACCATCTCGATGGCGGCGCGCAGCTCCGGGGCCTCGAGCCCCTTAAGTACAGCGCGAGGCGCGGCGGCTGGAGCGAGGCCGCGACCTGTTGAGCTGATCGCGGCCATGAGCTCTGTTGCGAAGGTGCTTCGTGTCACAGATTTGAGCGCCCCACACTGCCAGTCTAGTAGGCGGCACGTTTGCTTGCCAACGAACGTTTGCTTAGTGCCCGCGTCACTGGCGCCCATGCGCAGGAAGGTGGGCCCTCGCATGGCCCGCCACGCGGCGGCGCTTTACTTTTGTTATGTTAGGAATGCTGCGTCGCTGTTATGTCTATATTGCATGCGCAAAACAAAGGCGGATAGTCGATCCGCAAAAGCACGGCCTGCACCTATCTCACAAGCGCGTTGAGCTTCCGCATGCGACCGCACGCGGGCGCCACTGCGCGGCGCCGAAGTGCGACCACGTAGACGCGCAAATGGATTCGCGCGGTGAGTGCGAAGGCTAGTGCCACGAGTTGGCCGAAGCGCAGTTTGGCCAGGCTCTCTGAGGCGAGTCTGGACTCGGACTTGCTAACGAGCTCAGAGCTTCCAATAGCTGTCAGGGCCTGAACAAAGTCATCTGGTCTAGCTCATATCCGCCATTTTGCGCGCGGGGAAGCGACGCGCCCCACAGCACGCGGAGGTCCCTTCATTGATATCCAGCTCAGCTTTACCAAAGGCACCCCCAAACATTGACGTAACTTGGTTTTTCCCTGTGGTGACCCTGCTACCTTGATGCCGTCGACATGTTCAGTGGCCAGTAGAAAGAGCTCGCCATCCTCATGCTTGGCCATGAACTCGTTGTCGTATAGTGCGGGGATGGCCTGGTACATTTCAATGGTGATCTTGGTGAGTTGGATGGACAAGCATCTCGGGACACCCTTGCACCCGGTGCCTGGTTGCTGCTTGTGGAGATCTTCAAGCGCTGGGTCGACATCCTCGCAACCCTCTGTTTCGCGCAGGACCGCGACTGCGTCACGAGAGAGCTCCACGTCGACATCGCGCTCCCCATCGCCTCTTGCCTCCGCAAATCCTTGGTAGCTGACGCCGTTCAGGAAGACTTCCTTTACGCCCCACGCATCGATCGTCCATCCTCGGCAGGCAGCCTCGAGGACAAGCACGCGCTGGCAGTGCCGCGATGACGCGCCTGCACTCGCGGCGGAAAGATCGGCGCCGGCGCCCTTGCAGCCCCGAAGGGTCAGCCTCACGCGGATGATCCGAACCTACTGAGATGGGCCTGCTTCGCTTCGTGCCGATTTCCACTTGCCCGCCCACCTGCAGTCGAGGAAGTCGCGGGCTCCCTGGCGCGGGCGACGTGAGAAGCCATTGTGATACACCCATACTCGCGGCTCCTCAAGCACGGCGGCGGCGACGGCAGCGGCGCCAGCGCCGCGTTCAACCACTGCCGTCTCGGTTCCTGCCACGTCGACCTGGAGGCGTGCATGGCGCCCCTCTGGAACAAGAAGATCTAGTATGAGCGCGTGCAGCTCGTGCGGGGCTTACATGCCCACATTCGCGTTTCCGGTCTCATCGACGTCTATGGCCTCCGTACTAGTGAGAGGCGCGGCCTCCTTTGAAGTTGGGCATGACAGAACGGGTTGAGACTCCATCTCTGAGATGTCCTCGAATGTGACCGACTTCGTGAGCAACACATCCTCTATGACCGTCTGTCGGTCGCGCGTCGGCCCACAACGCTCTGTGAAGACGGCGCCGGTCGCCCACAGAGACTTCGTGGGCCCCCTCGTCAATGGTGGACAGCCTCCCGTCGTCATGCGTGGAATACTCGGGGCGCGTGCCGGCTTCCGGAGGATCGGCGCTGGCGCAACTTCCCCTGGCGCGTGCCACTTGGAGCTCGTGCCCCACGAGATCTCCGAAGCAGCGACCGGCTGCCTGTCCAAGCATGAATAAGAGACGACACACTTTGCTGCGGTCGGGGCCGAGGACTCGAAAC